ATTTGTAAAAATGAATTTTAATTGTACTTGTACCCTGCTTCAATTCGGGTCAATTGGGCTTTAGACTCAAAAGTTCGGCTTCCGCCTAACATAAAAATTATATGATTTGGTGTCGATTGGGCTGGGCCGAACTGAAACTTCAGCAAAATACAGAAATCTATTAGGAGGTTTTGTTCATTGATCGATGGTTTATCAGTTTAATTTAGCAAAAGCAAAATTAAGTTTTTAGTCGGTATAAAACTGATTAAATTTTTTGAGGTTCTCCAAATTCGAAGTTGCGGTGCACTTCTATATATATTTTCAAGGTCCTTTCCGTCACCCACCGTTAACATGTAAAGTTAATTCATTTCCTTCAGGGCTTATTCTTGCAGCTGCATCGAAGCTCAGCACTAGTTTGGGTTGAGCAACACATGCATTTACTTTAGATCATTCAACTGGGGACTTCATCCTCACACAGCCAAGCTTTGAAATTCCCCCTCGAGGTAAGATGATGAAAAATTTTAATTCTTTTGCATGCTCTGAATGTTAGGGAACATGAATTCAAAGGAATTGCATTTATATTTCCTATGGATGATGGTGTTCATTATCGATTTGATTACATTAGACTTCTTGCTGTTTGGATTGGAAAGACTAAACAATGTTGACTAATGGCCATTCGCGCATTGTTTTCTTTTTCTTTTTCTCTTTTTTCCTTTCGATTTTTTTAGCATATTAGAAAATTAGTTACTTGACATTACAAAGATTTTAACTTTAATTTTAAGTTCAAATCAGAGTTTTTAAAACTTAATAAGTATTATTTTGGTTAAAATTTTGTTGGTCTAACATCAATGTCCTTGATTCCAACTAATGATGGGACTAGATATGGTTATAACTATCCACTATTTTGTTAAGATTATAAAAAAAATTATTAAATTTAATTAACATTTTATCTGTTTGTAATTTTTTTTCTTAAACAGTTAGTTATGTTATTTAAAATTTTCAGTTTATAAACTGATTTCAATATATTAAACAGTACATATTAGTTATCAGTTATTTTAATAGTTAAAATAAATAAAATTGTGTAATCTTAATAAAATGACAAGTGACTATAATCACTCCTCCTAACTTGGTTACTTGAGATGGAAGGAAGGGAGTTGATTTCTTATAAACAGTTACCAGTTTGAGCTTAAGAATAGAAAGTGACGAGAATCAGTAACTAGAAATTTTTAGTGCTATTGAGCAAGCCATGCTTGACTATTAATCTATATCACTACCAGATGCAAGCCCTGTGTTGTAGTTAATATATAGAGCTTATATACGGTTCAGTTAGATATCCCCGTTTGATTAGTGCATTGTTGTAACAAAAGGTCGCAGAAACCGAAGGAGGGGGAATAAAGCTAATATTGTTGAAGATATTGTTTGTCGATATATTATTTTCACTACTTGTTCAAACAACATGCCCTAAGAGTTGCCGTAATTCTTCGAATCCTACCAATCTTTTCTCTGTTTCAACTTAATTTTTTCTTTTCAAAATCCTAGAAGAAAATGATCGTTTCCTGCAGTGTTTGACCAACAAGACATGTTAATTGTTAACCATTGGAGAAGAATCACAGACCAATGGATGGTTGATGTTGGCAAAAACCTTATATTAAGTCTCCAAACTTACTCTAGATTTTTCAAGCAAGTTTTTAGATTTTTATTAAAACAAATAAATCCTTAAACTTGTCAATTTAGGCAAGTTAATCCTCTTTTTTACTACAAACTAAATATCTATTTGTGCCTTATTTGCTAGACAAGGTCAATGCCTATCATGTATACAATGATATGTTAATATTTTATCTACACAAGTGATACACAAATAAACATTAAGTCTATCATTAAAAAAAGGGGTCAAATTACCTAAATTGGTAAATTTAAAGGTCTATTTACTTCGGTCAAAATACAAAAATTTAATCAACAATTTAAAATAAATTTAAGAATTTAACATAGGATTTTGCGGTTAATGTTCTCAGTTAGCTTCCCTTATGGGGGTATAGTCCTGCCCTTCCCTTTTCACATACATTGTTTCTGTCCGTGGGGATCCAATCATCCAAGTCAATAGTAAATGTAATTATGAAAAAATTATTTGATTAATTAGTAACATAAAGGTGCAATGCAGTCCATTCTATATAGATTTTACTTTATTTAATTATTTATAGAGATCTAAACCTTTATTAATTATTAAATTTTTTGTAATATGTCTCATGTGGGTTGCAAAATAACATTTTGAATTAATAATAAAAAAGAGTCTCTTATTTTACAATTTAAACTATATAAAATTACAAAACAGAGGTGATTGAATGTGAGAAAGGTCTTCAAAATCAAGAAACTTACATTCCATTTAATGATAATTATTATATAATTTAATTTAATTCAAATTATATAAAATTTTTTAATAAAAAAATTAAAATAATTACTAATAAAATCTCAAGTCAAATAGTTAATGACCTAAAAATTGATATCAAGGTTATGTGTTTTAACTCTGGTAAATGATGAATTTTCTTTACATTTTTCCCACTTTACATTTACGTATTAAAAAATCAAAACAACTGTAGTAGTTGAGGTTTAATGGGATGGGGCCATTCCATATGGATTAATTGTCATGTTCTACTGACAATATTCCATTTTTTTCTCTTTCTTTCTGCCATAGTTTTTTTACCGACAGAAGATTAAAACCATGATTCTACCGAGGGACTCTCTTTGTGGGCCGATGAAGAGTTTGTCTGCAAGGAAGTAATATAATTTTAGAATAAATTTCTTTATATGTCCCCAATCTTATTGACATAGGACACTCTAGTCCATTTTAATGCCCTGATAGTCTTGAAACTATTTGACATTGACTTTTTAATTCTCCCATTAGATGGAGCCGCTAATTTGAATAAAATTATTGAGTTTAAGAAAAAGCTATTTAAAAAAAAATTAAAATTTTTTTAATCTCAAACTAAGGATCCTTACTTGATCCATACACCATCACATTTTCAAAAATTGAGCACTTTATCAATCTAGAACATCAAGAGAACTATCATGTCAAAAATGGAGAGTATCATCAAAAAGTCAATCTAAAGCATAAAGAGAACTAGATATAAAAATGATACAACTATAGTAAATTAAAGAATATTAGAATTAACAAAATCATATTAAAAGAGGCTTTGATTTAATACTTAGGTAGAGAAAGAAAAACCATACAAAACTGCAATAAGTTTTCCATCAACACTTGACCTAATTGACTCATAGATGGATATGCAATGCCCATTGTCATAAAGGTTGGATATCACTATGATACCAAAATGGATATTAGGGGTGAAAATGTCCTATGTAATAAAAGTCAGGGACTAAAGTAGGGATTCGCCATATATTTTTACCATCAGAACCTTTTTCACGTGCGTGCTCTAGAACTCACACGTGACACGTACTTCCCCTGC